TAGAATTAGAGGAGTTCGCATTTTGATCTCGTGAAATATTTTCAGTTGGATATAAATCGCCGTAATCTTACGGAATTTGGTAATATGGCACTGGTGGATGCATCAGACAGTGAGGATGAAGCGGACGGTAAGAAACGTATCAAGTTAGCTGGTACGAAGCATTCGGATATGGCCGAACGATCAGCCAAACCCGAAATACGCGTTCAGCACATCAACTTTTCACCTACCGGTTTGATTTTGGCGTTTAAATTGCCTTCATTCGATCAGTTATGAACTAGTGGACCAATTCGTAAATACGAGTTAGGCTCGTTTAATTCAGTGGTGTTGGTGCATCGTGAAACGTTGTTCGAGTTGAAACCGCATTTGAATCCTGCTGAATGAGGAATTTTTGCTCAAGAATCTGTAATTCCACATTGGATCTTTGATTAATTCATTGAGTCGTCGAAGACTGAATGAAATTCCATAAGTGATTTCACAAAGTGAATTGTAAATATGAGTAATTAAAAGATCGTTTCTTTAAGGATTGAGTTTTGCCGTCTGTTCAACCGAAGGTGTGTGCGTGTTCTCGAGAGATAATCGTTTGATATTCGATCCATATGAGCTAAACGTAGAGGTAACACCAAAAGGAATCAAGCAAAAACTCGCCCAAGCAGAGTATTCGCATGCATTGGTGATGGCATTGCGTTTGAACGACGCTCAACTGATAGAGCAATGTGTTCTGGCCACACCACTCGCACAAGGTTGGTTTATCCTTTTCGACGGATCGTTTCAGTCTCATTTCTGAAAACATGAAGACGAAATTGTTTGAGTATCTTTAGTTTTTTGGCTTTGTAGCCGTATATTATGAGTGCATGAGGTATGGCTGTTACATATCTTTTCAAATTCGTTTAAAATTTCATTATGACTGATTTTGAGTGCTTATGCGCTCATTATTTCTCAACTTTTTAACTGAACGACTGTCGGTGTGATAAAAATATTTGCTTAGCAGGTTTCCATCCATTTCAAGAGCAATTACTTACTTGTACGGGAATAATGCAAATTGAATGAAGAACAGCGCATTGCGATAAATGTTCGTGTGCAGTTATTTCATTGCATTAACTGTTGTAATATTTCATGGTTACGTCGGGTAATGAATGCTTTCAGTTGATGTTGTCACGCGATCGTTAGCGATCATATACGCAGAGAAACTGTTGCAGTGGTTATCGAATGGTAAGAACACCTTAGCACAGTGTCACATCCAGTTATGGCAATTATGGCTGAAGAGCATTCTGCTGGAACATGCTCAGCAGATCAAGTTGAATCGTTCAGCGAATCTGGCTTCTTTGACCGCCATTCAACAACTCATTTCAAACCACTCGAATTTAGTTTCGAAATTGTGAGTTTTTGCATTCTCTACCGCAGTTTTCAAATATTTTTCATACAAATCGCTCATGTTCAGTTTTATTTGTTAGTCCAAATGGTCGTATTCTACAGTAATTGTGGCAATTTTTTTGCACTTTTCTTTCAAAGTTGTAAAGTTCCTTGTAATGAATTCGATGATTCCAAACGACACATTTTATGTGCTGCTGTTTTGCAAGTTTTGTGATATTTTACTCTTCGTTCCTTTGAGAAGAATTTTCAGAGTTCACTTTTTCCTGTTTGTTTGAGAGGGCGACAGCGGTAATTTATTGATGAACATTCGTTCGTTTTCATTTCTAGATTTTTGCCTCGCCATCGCCCTATCTGATCAGTGA